ACACAGAAAACGCCTCGCCCGCTCAGCACGATCCCTGCTCTCCACTCTCCACCAGCGGAACAGAAAACAACTCCTACAGTAGACAGACTAGCAAACAACACCAGACACCGCGTGCACAGCACCATCCAGGAAGAAAGTACCCATGATGTAAACCGAATTTTTCGAAAATGACTTTCCTGATAACATGATAGGAGGGGGGGGTAATTGTAATCCCCCCCGTGAGTTCTGCGACCCCCAACAAGGACAAACCTGCTTCTGGCGCGACGCACACATCTAGCGGTGAATTCACAATACAAAAACCCCTTCCCGTTGAGACTGCACATACACATACATGTTTAACGGCTCCACACCGCGTGATAAGACAAGCATTGCGTGGCAAGCGTGACCCGACCGCGCACGAAACGGCAGCGCGCCGCGGGGTGTGTGACTTGGCGGAAATACCCATCAGAAACGCCGAGGCACCACGGGAAATCCACAACCAGTCCACAAAACCAGCAGCGGTTGCAACACATGTGTGTGTGGGTGTGGGTGTGCTCGTCCCATGTACTCTGCCGCCAGCCTACTAAACGCACAGTTCGGTGTATGCGTTGACCGATCAGCCGGGGTCACATGACAGGAGGAAGGCCAGTACAACAATCACAACGCGACGAAGGAAAGGAAAGGCATGAAAGCCTCGCCGCTGGCAACGCAAGCGATTCGCAGCTGCGACAAGCACCGCGGCCCGGCCAACAAAGGCACTCAACACATGCTCGCAAAACCACGCCAATTCCAATGCTCGCCGAGTGGCTCGCCGCCTGCTAACCCTCAACAGCGGGGCCGCCCGATAGATCGGGTAGCAGTGACAACCGACGGGTGCTAGCCCTTCCCCGATAAGCTTCAAGTTACCGATGCTTTGCCCTTCTGTGCAGTCGTACGTTCAACAATGCCACCATCACCCCCCCCCCCCCCCCGGACACTATTGGGAATAAACCCCGGAATTCCCCCCACATCCCCCAACGTGAAACTGGAAAAAAAAACGGCGTGAAAAAATGCCCAAATGATTTTTTTAAAGAAAACTGTACCCACCCGCCCACGAACCGGAACGCGGCACGACTTCACAATTTGACTTGCATCTGACAAACGAAGATTTCCTTCGAGACCAAAACCCACGAGTGTACGAATGGATACCTGCCAGATTTTTCTCCTCCCCCTTTGGTATTGCGGTATTGTTGACTAACTCATTCGTACTACGTACCTCAATTGATATCGACACTCTGTCGAAGAAAATTTCGAATTCGATTGCCCTGAACCCATGCTAAATTGCCACGCGGTGCCCAACCCGCATGCATGCACGGAACCCCCAACACCCCAAGAGCCTGAGCGCATGCAATGAGCCTGCCAAGGAAAGCTCCGAACCACAGGAGTCGCAACAAAATACCACACGGAGCCGTTTATCTGCGACACCCGCGGCGAATGAGCCACGCGCAGCAAGCATGTTCTGGTCTATCATTCCGAACACATGGGGTCACAAAAGACAAAAGAAGCTGGTATGTGTGACAAGTGCTTGGAGTGAGCTGAAAGCGTGAAGGGCAGGGGGCATGAACCCCCCCTCCCCCCCATTCATGATCGACGAAGTCCCCCCGTGCTAGGTTTCGGCGTACACCCAAATATCGAAAAGCTGACGAGACAAAAGCGACCATCGAGCAACCCCCTCCCCCCTACGCGTATTTCCATCTCGAACATGCAAAGCAACTCTTGCCTGTTCGCTTACGATGGACAAATACATGTGTGTGGAGAAAGGGGATCGTTTGCTCCTCCCCGTAAAACATTTTCTAGAACCCCCCCCACCTGCCGAACCCAGCCCTGTCTTCGCCTCCCAGGCCGGAGCAACACACAGCGGGGGTTAGCCGCACACCCCGCCGCAACCACACGACAGGGACCGTTTTATCTGATTGGATTGCGGGCGGGGCGTCCCACTCTATCACCACACCGTGCCCCCCCCCGGCAAAACAAACACTGCACCAAATCTCACAGCACGTAAAGGGGCGGCGCCCTTGGCCCGTGAGTGGACCACCAACAGCTCGTCGATCTCGTATTTGCTGGCGCCGCCCCCCTCGCTCCGCTCCCATCCATGCCACCGCCACCGCCGCCGCCGCCGCCGCGCCCACTTGTTCTATCCCCGTGACCCCCCTCCGCGTCACGCCTCCCCCCCGGCGCAACCTCACGGGTATGCCCTCCCGCGTGGCCCCCTCCCCCACCCGAGTCTCCTGACGGGGGCCCGTATAGATAGCCTTGCTCCTTCCAGGACAGCTTGGTCAGCATTCCCTGTTTCGTAATGCGGCGATGGCACGGGTGTTGTTTTTGTTGAGGTCTAGCGATGGACGGAGTTTGGCAATGTTGCAGGTGGGGGTGCTGCGGGCAGCGCGTAAGGGTACATACAGACGGTACAAAGAGCGCGCAGGGCTATGTGTATCTACTGATGCCGAGAGACATTAGCATTCCGAAAAGAGCAGAGAGAGGTGGAGTACTAAGGGCATCCTTTCCCGCCGTCCACCTAAACAGCAATGAAACCCAGCTACCTGCTTTTACATACTACTGGTACAGCCATCACCATGAAACCCAGCAATCATACTGTCACTGTTATCACCTGCCACTCGACCGCCTCGGTTTCGCTGGCGAACCACAGGTCCAGCGTAATCGTCCGGCCAAAGAAGTGGATCGACATCACGCACGCGTGCTGGGAGCTCCAATCCTCCCCCGCCCTTACAACGCCGCTGGCATCACCATCACCATCACCATCACCATCACCATCCGGGCGTTGACCCTTGCCGGATGGCGGCGGCGGCACCGACCCACCGCCACCACCGCTGCCGTGGAGGCTTCTGGAGTTCCCGCCACCGGCTCCCCTGTCTGCCTCGTCGTGAGCGGTGTTCTCCTCCAGACTACTGCCGCGCCGGGACCCCGCCGCCGCCGCGCCCGCCGCCCCGGGAAGGTGCTTCGGTGGCACCGGGACCGGCAATGACGACGACAGCGACAAGGCCGACGACGACGAGGCCGCGGAAGTCGTCAGCCCTCCTTTGTTCCTTCTGCCGCCGGGGGAGGCGTTATCGCTGGCGTCCGACGGGAGCCTCGGGGTGACGGCGGCGTCGCTGTGGCTGCTGCCGCTGCTGCTGCTGCTGCTGCAGTGGTTCCTGCTGCCCCTTCTGCTGGAGCCGCCCGAGTCTCGGGCGGCTGCCGTTACCGCGACAAGGCAGGTCTTGACCTTGGAGAGGTAGAAGCTGTGGTCCTTGCTCGCCGTGCCGTCTGGCTTGTTTCGCTGAAATTTTGAAATTTTCCCGACGAAAGAAAGGTGGGCAAGGGAGCAAAACAACAACAACAACCCGTTGGAGAGAGGATGAGTCGGAGGGGTGTTGAGGCGGTACTGCTGTGTGCGTCGAAGCACCTGTCTGCTGAAAATAACACATCAAATCTGTTGAAACAACGGAATCATTATTACAACGTTAATCTATTCATCACTCCTGGTGCAGACAATGGTTGCTGCGCAGCCCACTCGAGGACACAAGCCGGAAAAAAAAAAAAACTTCCGCCGAGACGACATGCCGGGGGGCTAGAATAATTTTACTTGGGATGACAATCAATCGCCTTGCTGCACAACATGGCGCAAAAATACACCAAGTCTCAGCGTCAAAACAAAAGACGACCTACAGCGGAGGTTCAGGCCCGCACGCACATGAATAGACCACGGGGACGGCTTTCATAGGCAGCACATATCTGACCGCACGAGCCCCCTCCCGCCAAGCGTTACAAGATGGTAGCGTGAGACATTCGACAGAGGACCAGGGCACCATCTACGCAGCCAGCGGAACTTCCAGGAATACAAACCGACGGCATACGCCTACAGGCCTGCTGCTTCTCTCTCTCACCTTTGCAGTCAGGCAGAGCGCGCCCCGGTTGAACCACAGCCTGAGCTTCATGGGGTGGGACAGCTTGCGGCCGGACTTTGGCGCGGCCTTGGGGACTTCGGCGCCGCGCTTGACGAGCACCTGGAACAGTCTGTACTCCTCGGGGGAGAGGACGTCCTGCAGCGTACGTGCCGTGCCGTGGCGGCCGTGACAAAGGAGACAAAAGCAAAACAAAAATACACACAGAATGTTGAGTAGGCGGTAGGAACAGGCTGGCACGTACCCATGCCCTGCTGAAGGCCCCCCAAACTACTGAGGTTCCTTGCCCCCCCCTCTCCACCCCCCGCAAAAAAATGTGATGAAAGCGGAGGCGGCAATAAAAAGAGCCACATGTCGGGACTGAGAGGGTTTGTCTTGTCATCAGCGGTGAAAAAAGGCAGACCATCAAGTGGTGTTGAATGTCACAGTCACGCGCAATGCGGGGCATCTCGAAAAATTTCATGAGGACATCGACCGCAGCATGGCTATCCTAGCCTCGACAAGCACGGCCCGTTCGTACGTCGTCTTGGGAGATGTACGGACGCGCCGTGCTCGGCGAGGCTAGGGGTAGCCAAGACGCCTTCGACATGCACATCAAATTTTCAAAGATGCGCCGCATTGTGCGCGGCTGGGACAATTCAACACGACTCGATGGTCTGCCTTTTTCACCGGCACTGGCGACACGAACGTCGTGAGAGCCGAAACTACTCGTACTACCCCAAGAGGCGGAGAGACGGCACACCCCCGTAGTTCCCCTTCATTGTATAAACCATCATCCTCTGTAGCTCTCTGCTGGGTACACAATATTTCTTGTGCAATATGCAATGACAGCGGAAAGCAAGAGAAAAAGCGGAATGTACCTAGACTTGTCCGCCAAGCTAGTGAAAGGGGTATGTTCAACAGAAGCAGGACTTCTACAAATCAATTCCGTTTCCTACAATCACAGATACCGCAGGTCGTGCTTGAATCCATCACCCCGTCCCGTCAACCACCGCCGGGGGGTACGACACGTACCCCACCACAACCAACCGGGGCGCTAGAACCGTTTCTCGAACTGGTTCTCGTTGAGAACCGTCTTTGGTTCTCCCTCCTCCTGCGCCTACCTTGGCGGTGAAGAGTTGGGCAGCCACGTCCGCGTACTTGGTGCCCACCGTGCAGACGCAGGAGGTCATGATGCTCCTCTCCATGGGTGTGTACGAATCCCCGTCGTCCACGATGCGGTAAGCCTTCTGGTACGGCCTCAGGTTCGTCTCGCGGAACCAGAACGGCACTGGATCGTCGCCATCGTCGACATGGCAATAGCAACAGCAGCAGCAGCAGTGTTGGGCGGCGTGAAGAGGGGGGCAAGCAGCCGAGCAATCATACTCCTGTTGTTCTTGGTGGTCGTTATTGTGCTTGTTAGAGACTCGATGTTTCATCCAAGCACCCAAAGCAAGAAGAGATTTGGTGCGACAACGAGGGCCTATCTTTTTAGGCACAGCCATCACAAATGAGGGGGGGGATGGGTGGGTCCGTACTTCGTTTCCCCCCTATCCCCCCCCCCCTATTCAGGCTGGAAAAATCATCCACGACTACATCCGCCATCTACATGCAACTTTTGCGTTCCAAACATCTCGGACCCTGCTCAATATTAACACAGATTGGCGAGTGATACTGCTGTGGACACCTTCTATGGCAGCTGCAACTGTGGTTCTGGACAAACGGAAGCATCGTTTACGCATCCTCACTTAGCCTAAGTGTGTTTTTTCGAATCTTGGGTCCCTTCCAAGGACATTGATTTTCATTGGTCAGCGGTTATAGCGAGGCCGATGCAACTTGAAGACACGCAAACAGTACACACAACGAGCGTTCGTGTTTTTCCATCCCCCTCCAAGACAAGACCGCCGTCCCTCAATTGGTTGTAGCGCGGTCGACCCGAAACAAACACAAACACCGCAAAAAACGCTCACCTCTTCGTCGGTAGACCTCTCGGCAGAAGGTGGCGTGGTACCAGGCCAGCAGGTCGTTGTTCTGGTTAGCCTTGGCGTGCAGGTGCCACAGCCGCCGGTCCGCCCTCTGCCTGGCTTCGTTGGCCTGCCGCACGCCGCCGCACCACCGAGTCCAGCACTTCTCCATCTGACGCGTCGCCGCCCCCGACAGAAGCCGCTTCAGCTTCAAGGCCTGGGTGGGCAGTGCGTACGTACGTGTGTGTGTCGGAGCAATCAGGAAACGGCAGAAATGGGTGTCGAAAACATGAAAACATGTGTGTATTGGGGGAAGGAGTGTGTGTATGTCTGTGTGCTTTCGTAAGTACCGCCGTGATGCGAGGAAACGAGGACACCGAGGGCGGTGGTTCGCAGGTTTATCCGTCCACTGATGCATAGCCCAGGACAGGGATTATTCCCGTGAAAGCAATGGCTGCAGGCAAGATACCCTCGAGATCACACAGAAGCGCCTCGACTACCACCATGGTACTTCGAAGGATACGGTCGGCCCGTCCTCGACACCAACTATTATAGTAACTGACTTAATTCGTAGCCGTTGTACAAAACCCAATGAGAGAGAGAGAGGTGTAGCGTCTTCTAACGAGTCTAGATATGCTACACTTGTGGATCACATTCTTATAAACCCTGCACTGTCGTCCACCACACCTTAGTTTTTCTCCAAAAGTTTCGTTGGACGGTGGTCTGGTGGTTGTTGCTATGCTTTCGGGAGAAGGAGGAAACATCAACGCTGGGCAATTTTTTGAAAGCAAAAAAACAAGAGGGAACTAAAACGAAACACAAGAGCACACGTCTGAACGGCGGCGTGAGGAAAATACCATAGGGTGGTTTTCAGTGACAGGATGATGAATGCGGTGCAGTGACCTGCTGCTGCCCCAAAAATAGGGGGAAGCTCTGCTGTTGCGCGCATGCATACTCGCGTCGATTTCGGGGGTCGTCTTCCTCCACCAGGAAAAAAATCGACCGTGCTGGCCGGCACCGATGTGTGATCTGATCTGAGATGTGGCGATACCTTGATGGCAGTTGGCTCTTTAGAACAGAAGCTGTCACGAGAACCAGTCATTCTCCGATGTAGGGCAGGGGGTGAAGAAAAAAAAAGAGCCCTTGGCTGGTGCGACTGCACGCGGGGATGCGAAACCACGTGCCAACACCACCAGGAGGCTGCAAGATTTTGCAACTGAGATTCGTGTGTACGTGGCTCGGTGTCTCGCTCGAAAAAAAAGCACAATTAATCAAGATTTGCAACGGAAAATATCCCTATCTAAGCAGGAAGGGCACGGAGTCAGCTCTTCAAATCGAATGTAGTACCGGCGGAAATGGGTGGGGCGGGGGCATGGCGGAGCTCCGCAAGCAAGCAAAGGGGCCAAGATCCGGCAGACTTTTTGGAACCTCGCTCTCAAGTGCGCCCGTTAAAAGAGCGTCGTTCATTGGTATGCTACCTACTGCTGACTCTCATGTTAGCCTCCTACATAACCGAGGCAGATTTGCCTTAAAAAGTGCAACAGAGAGCAATCACGACAGCAATTTTACCCGCAGACAGGTGCGCAAAAGACTGAAAACCAACGGCCCCGCAAATAAAAGGTCTTGAATAAATTCTTGTGGACGATATATTGAAGGTAGTTGTTGTATGCATACCCAACGGGGCGAGAAATAAATCGCTCGCCACAAGATCATGGACGGTCTTGGAAAGATCATGAAGATCCTGCTGCCGACGGGCTGCTGAGGCATGACTTCCGTTCCGACAGCAAGCACGAGTTAAGCAGCAGCGCTAACATATCACGCCGACAGCAGGAGAGCTCATCCCCTCACTACATTAAATCGAGCATAATTCACCCAAATACACTACTGACCAGCTCATACCGACTCTACATTCACTGATTGTAGATAAACTCACCCCCAGCCGGCACGCCGCCGCGTGTGTCTCATCCCTAGCCCTGTCGTACACCGCCAGCAGCCTCGCCATGGCTTCCTCCCTCCTCCGCCTCGCCTCCAGCTCCTGCTCCAGCACCAGACCCGCATCGCTCTCTCGCCCAATCACCGACGCCCCTACGGTCCTAGCGCGCTCAAGACCATGAACAACACTCGCTGCCTTGTCGGCGCCGGCGGAACTGAAGGATACCCCGCGCCTGTGCAAGCCGAGGCTGGCTCGCCGGCGGCTGCTTCGCTCGGCAGAGGCGGCAGCGGCATCGGAGGAAAACAAGCGCTCCCTGAGATCGCCGCCGCGGTGCCGTATTGCTGATGAGGCCGGGTCGGCACAATCGTTGTCAAACCTCGCGAGGACTGCTGCCGCTTCCTCGTCGTCGCTGTCGGTGTCAGCGGCGGCACTTGTTGTAGTAGCTGTCGGCGCAGCAGGTTCGGCGTCGCTCGATCCCGCCTGCTCGCCCTCCCTACCTCCCACTTGTATTTCTTGCTGTACAACATGTGGAGCCGCCGTGCTCCCGACCCCTTCCCCCGCAGCAGAGACATGATCGCCCCCTCCTCCCTGGAGGCCGTCCACTAGCGTCTCCAGGGTGAGCATCACCAGGTCTCTCAATTCCCGCGATGCCGCAGCCAGGATGAGCTTGGACGGCCCTATTTCCCCCGCACTACCCCACGACAGCACCAACGATGTGTTACGGCAGCTCCCGCCGCCGCCGCCGCCGCCGCCCCTGCTCCTCTTGCGCCCCGCCGCCGCCCCCTCGCTCCCGTGAGCCTCGTGGCCTCGACGGATGCTCGTGACACCCCTTAGGTCGAAGCCGAAGGTGTCACTGTCGAGCCAGGTGATCGCCAGCAACGGAGAAATGATGCCTTCTCCTGATGCTCCTCCGCCCGCGGTGGTGGTCCTGCTGCTCTTGTGCCTTTCTTCAAGCGGCTGCTGCTGCTGCTGCTGCTGGCGCCGGTCGAGCAGGCGTAGAGCCACGGGGACGGAGTAGCCCTCGAGCGTTACTTTCCTCATCGCCAGGCCCTCGGGCGAGAGCATGAGCTTGGCCAGGTGTAACAAGCGCTCGTCATGAGCGGCGGAGGAAACGAGCCCTGCTGCTGCGGTATCATCGTCTGCTTCTATCGACTCAGCGGCTCTTTTAGCCGCAGCGTCCGCATCAGCCTCAGCGACAGCAGGAGAGGGGTGGGAAGGTCGGAAGGGTAGGGGTGGCGGCCTACCGGGACGTGGGGATGGTCTCCTTGTTTCTTGCTTCATGGGTGGCTTGAGCTTCTTCCCTCCCTGCAACTGGTGGCTTGAAGAAGGCGATGCAAGGGACGACGGTGGTGCGTCTGCCGTTTGGTCAATAACGCAAGGTCCCATGAGACAGGAAACTCGCCGCATACAAGCGTGATTGGCGGGAAATGGTTGCAAGGGAGGGATGCAGCCGCTGCCACTCGAGCGCGATGGTCGCGATTGCAACCGAACGCCCCCCGTTCATACAACGGCAGCACTTACGGGTGTATGAAATTTGTCCGTGCCAGAAGGGTGGTGATATGGTTGGAGGTTGAGCAGAATTGTTTGTTGGCGTGATGTCAGTGGGGATGATCACGCAAAAAATGAAGATTTAGTCTAGACCATATGAACAGGGCTCGTGGGCACTGTTTAACGGCACGTCATTGTCCGCCTAGCTCCCTCCGCATCTCGCACGAGAGAAAGCGCCACAGCGGTGCAATAGGACAGAGGGATGGGTACTGGGGAAGGTAAGTCCACAACACAGCAGTCAGCCGTCGTCCAAGACCAACGCTGGTAAACGTTGTGCTTCTCCTGCACATATCACACATGCGTACGACGTTGCTGATTTTTTTTTTCGGACATGAAAAATTAAAATTTGTCGGAGCAGAGGTTGAGAGGTTCAGATGTTCAGAACCATAAAGCCTTCCAGATCTGTCACACCGACTCCACGGTGCCCCCGCCACAGTTGCCGTGGCCGTGTGTTGCACAAACAGGCCACCGTAGACAACGACAGCAGTCCAAACAGCTGGCACAGCAATGGCGAAGGCCCTTGTATCATCGGCCCTCGTTCTGGCGCGATGGACGCCCTTCTGTACAGCCTTTGTTGCACCTGCAATCGGTGAGAGGAAGAGAAATACGTGTACACGCCGCACCCACACACATTGCATTATCCCAGCACACGTGTCTACTGCTCTCGCTACAACTGCTGTTGCAGTCCACTGCTGCGAGAAACATATGTACAGCCCAGGCTGGACGTGGTCGGTTCTCAGTGCATATCTGAGAATACTCGTGATATCTGGAAATAGTTTAGTACACCAGGTTCTCATGTGGAGTTGTCAGCGCTGTGCACCTCCTCAGGAGCCAGAGGGTTATGTCGCAAGCTCAAACGGTTTGAGATCGTCTTGGATATCTACTGGTTGCTTCTGTAGTGGCAGAAAACATGCGCCCCTTTAGGTATCCTGAGCAGGAGCAGAGGCAGTACAAGGCCCGAGCTAAAACTAGAGAAGTGCAATCACCGGGAGCTAATCCTCTGTACTTCTACTGTACCACCGCAGATGTGCGGTATGCAGAGATGCACATGGGGTGGTGTTGCAGAAGGTACACCCCACGCTCTCAACATGTGTCTACGAAGCAGACTACGGAGCTGTACAATTTTTTCAGCAACCGGAACCAAACGTGGGATGTCCTTGTGCGCTTTACGCCAACTACTTGATTCGCGGAAGCAGTAGCAGCATATGGGAGAGAGTATTTGTTCTATATATGTGCTTTGAATGAACCTACACCGGTACTTGCTTTGCCGCAGCGGCTGCTGCAGTAGCGTCAGTAGCAGCAGCAGCCCTGCCACGTAGAGGCCGCCGACCACTTGACCCTCTTATCGTCCGACATTTTCACGCCTGTAGCAGGCTTTCGGCACGTATATCGTTGTGTTCGTGGAGCACCCAGCTGAAGGGGAACACAGATTGTTTGGTGACCTTTCGCCCCTGCCAGGAAAAGGCCGCGCGCTTTTCGTACAGTACACGCACAGGATAGACCAGGCACCTCCGTAGACATCTCGCCTACGGGCCTTTCTCTATATACAGAAAGGACGTACGGAACAGGTTGCACATGCAACGGCAGTAACCAGCACAAACTGGTGGTGGATGTTGATGTCGTACCATAGCACAGGGACCATGGCTCACAGCAGTTTTCTTCTGAACCACAAGCTCGCCAAACCTGCGCAGATATTCGTGTTTACCTCCTATAGGAGTGCGTCTTTATGCCGTAAAATACGGAACACGCAGTGGTTGATCGATCAAAAGTTTTTTTATTGCAGCGTGGTTCCACGTGCAGGGGACTATCTCGCAACAAGGGACGCTCGGCCATTGTACAACCATGATTTGAAGACAAGGCAAACAATCAGGCCGCCCACCCTGTGTGATGTTATGTTAACATAACATCCCCCCTTTGAACACGCTTCTTTTCGCCCTCGACAGTGTCAAACTCTCTGCTGCTGTCGACGCCCGTAGTCTCCGGTACAAATAGTGCGGTAGGGGTGGCACCGGCATCCGTCGGGCATTTCAACTGGGCGGCGGCGATGGCCGGTGGCGACGCTCGACGACGGGATCGTGCGGCAAGATGTTGGCGGTCGTCGTCATCGTCGTCGTCGTCGTGGAAGCCCTTGAGGATGATGGCGGGGGAGTGCGTCGGAGGGACGGACATATCGAGGGTATTGTTCGTGTGCCTGTACAACATTATGACAAGGTTTGTTGTGCTCTCGCTTTTTGTCTTGTACGGGGGGTTGGCCAGAGGGTTAGAAACCCTGCTGTCGGTGCCCTGCTGTCGGTGTGTTTCGTCGACGAAACTTCAGCATCTCGTGTAAATTTCGACGCCTTTGTTGTTCTTAGTACTTGTTTCACGCCCAGCAAGCGGAAGGGGTTGGTGGAGCCGTAAGGAGGGCAGAAGATCTGCAGGTGGGCAAGTGTGGCTGTGGACTCAGATACTTTTTTTTTTTTTTTGCCGTCGCGCCTACGAAGGCGGAGGGAGAGGTTAGAGCATGTGTGACCGCTGTCGTCGGTTGTGTCCTGCTTTCGAGAAGGGATGCTTATATTGGTGAGCAAGGATATTTGGACTCGTGAGGCTGACGAAAGCGAGCCAGGGCCTTTTTTGGGCCCGTTAGGCTGACGAGTCCGCGCGCGGACGCTCTTGGCCGAATTGGCATGGGCAGACATCGACAGTGTAGTTACTTGGTGGTGTTCAACGTTGATGACTTCCACGGTATATCTAGTAGCGGATACATATATGTAGTGTGCGTGTTGATGGAGGCTCTCCTGGCAAGCCCAGGTAGGCCTGCACCGGCACCAGCACATCATGATCTTGCTGGCGTTCGACGCTGTTTACTGGAGCACCGTGCTTAAACGTCGCTCGTGTTTACGACAGCTTGATTCTTGTCGCAGGCTTAGTTCATCATCAATCTTCTTCACACGTTTTGTCGAGTGTCGCTACAGTTTCGCATTGCATTTTTTTTTTCTCGTCACTGCGGGGAGGTGGTTTTCGTCGCTCTTTGATCCGGACTGTTGGATATAAATCCTTTTTTGCCCCTCTTCGCCTCCTCGGGCATGCCTCTTGTCTTGCCGATCAGTCCATGCGCGGAGGGCTGTCTGAACAAGAAGATCTTGGACGAGTTCGGGGTGTTTGAGGAGGGCGAGGAAACCTGGGAGGTGGACTCTTGCGGGACCGGAGGGGGCCCCGCAGATTGGTGAGTGATAAGCACCAGGGGGGTACTGTTTTTGAGGTCCGCGAAACCAGCAAGGTTCCCAAGTGCCGAACGTCACCGCCTTGGAGGTGTGTGTCCGCTGTTCATAGGCCCAGCGAACCCCAATCTAGGTGCCCTGGTCTGGTCTTTGGCTTTCGTGGGCATGTAGTCGACATCGGGAGGAAAACGAACCTCTTTCTAGCCGAATGGGCTACACACCACTGGTTGTTTCACAAGGGTAAGTACAACACCTTGGAAAATCTCGTCTCTTTGACGGGTAGGAACAGGAGGTCAACCGGGGTGTTTAACAACATCAGCAGCATCTTTCCCGTTTATCCATGACTCTCCTTCATGGATGGGAATGGGTATGGATGAAACGTAGGTTGAGAATTTTCATTCCAGCAGCATATGAAAGTACTCATTTGCTTGCCTGTAAGTATCCTCACGGTGTGTTCCTGGAGCACCTGTTAGTACCGTTTCCACTCTGAAAAGGGTCGCGGTATCCTACACACACGTTTTGATGTGATTTCTAGTATTTAGTTTCATGCCAAGCTTGATGTTGACGTTGACATTGTTTTGTGGGGGTTGTTTAGCAAGAGCCGGGTCGTTATTCTGACGATCAAGCATAACAGAAAGAGGCCCCAACAATTCCTGCTTGGGGGTCCCGAAAACATGCTGCTTGGCTCAAACCATTCAACTGGTACCGCATGACACTTGAAATATAGGAGCAGCTCGAAGTGGTTCGGTCAGCTCGTTCTTTCCGAGGTGACCAACGTGAATGAAACAGTTTAGGGGTCGGCTCCATGAGCGAGCGAATGGTGATTAGTTCGCCGTTCTGTGTACCCTTGCCACCAACGTTCTCGCCGCCGGATCACGCAATCACACGACTGCCCCGACCCCCTACGGACCGTAGACACCACGATTTTTTTCTCCAACGGTTTCACTATTATGACATGGTAAATCATAAGGTGTTTTTTTTTTTTCGTACAGGTATAAAGAAGGTGGAGAAGTCCTCTTCCGCGGGCAGGAGCCGGACCCCCGCATCGAGGTAACGGCGGCACAGAGGAGAATTACCACGAGGGGGCTCGACATGAAGGGAGGGGGATCGCGGCCCTTGACGCCCGCCGACCTCGACAAGTTTGACGTCATCCTCGGAATTGTGAGTTGTTGTTTGTTGGAGGTTTTTTTTTTTTTGGGCAGTCTTGGTAGATGCTGTGATTGATTGACGTGACGCCGAATGCCAAATCTGCTTAGGACGGCCTCTTTCTGTACTGGTCGTAGGACTACGTTTCTCTGTACTGGCTGAGCCGTTCCGTAGCAGAAAATTTCCGTGCCTCTGCATCTTCTATAGTCATGCAGGGACGAAACGGAGCTAGCGTACACCTCAAGTCGATTTTCGTGACTATACGTGCGCAAGGGTGTGTGTGCGTGTGAAGGGGTGCTCAGATTGAAGTTTCGCAGGTATCAATGGAAGGCCTCACGTTGTTCTGAACCCGGTGTTGTACTGTTGTACTCTGCAGCATGCACCGACCGACGCAGAGTGGCGCTGACCCCTCCTACTCCCGTTGCACCCCGCCTACTCCCGCTGAATCCCTTCCTCGTGGGTTCGACCGGGCACACCTGCCGCCACTTCGTCTGACGCGGTTGTATCACCAGGATGACGACAACGTGGAGGCGATCATGACCGCCGCTAAGCACTGGGGCAAGGGCGACATCGCCGCGAAGAAGACGAGGTCGTTGCTCTCGTACGGCACAAAGTACCCCGAGGTTGAGACCATCCCGAACCCCTACTACGTCGGCCGCGAGGTAACTGACTGCATGTGTTGCGTGTACCCTGACTTTTTTTGGAGCGGTTTTGGTGTCGTGGAACAGCAGGATCTCCGGACGTCTCTGTGGGTCGTAGAGCGGATTTTTTTTGCGTGTGTACCGGTTAAGAAAATCGCGTTTCTTTTTTTGGAGGACCCCAGACCTTCGGCTATCTTGAATTTTTCAAAATGAATGATCTTTTTCGTTCATCGCTGGTTTTGGGCCCCAATCACGCCAATGTGTGCTACGTTTCACACAAGCAAAACTGACATTCTACTCCCCTTGCAGAATATCTCTTCCATCTGTTGACGACAGGTCAATGGCACTGGTAAAGCTCTCATGATATACTGTACGTCGTTTGTCGGCCATGCTGGGCACACAGCGGTGTGTTTCTCGACTCACCCCATGCCCTCGTTTCCTTGCGAATGCCGCATGAACCCGCTCCTATGATGCGCGCATGCACTGACCCTGCGTGCTTCACTGCCGATGTTGATCCTCGAATGCTATTATAGGGCTTCGAGGTGCTGGTGGACATTATTCAGCACGGCGTCGACAACCTGTTCGAGAAGTGCCTAAGGGGAGAAGCCTTGTCGTACGATTAGCGACGTCATCCATCCATTAGTCTAGGGGGAAGGGGATCCTTGTCGTGATTTTTTTGGGGGGGATAGATCGGAGGTTCATACCCTATAGGTCATTGTTGAGAGAGTATTATAGTGCTCGTGAGTATGGCTGTGCTAGAGCTGGTGGTGAGGCATGCCCCGTGTTGGTGTTCAAGGTTGCTTTTACAGCTGGGCGGCGTCTGTCTAGCAATTTTTCGTAGGTTTGCGCCCGTTGCCCTGTGATGGCTGCATCCCTCGTGTCCGCAGTCCTGGGGCTGTTGTTGATACAAAGGATTGATGGTGTAGCTTACGGAGCTTGTAGTGGCGATAACGAAGGGTCTTTGCTCTCTCTCTCATCTGTCTTTCTTTCTGGTTGTCGCTTTTGTTGCTGGTGCTTTCTGAGTGCTCTGGTTCGCTTCCGCGCCACATGATGTGTTGGGACGTATGTATTCGTACCCTTTGAGATGGAGCGTTTACGCCTGGCTGAGTGTTCCCCGCCCCACCTACGCAAGGCTTGTCTTTTCTAGTCAAGTACCTTTCCGAAGTGCGCACTGCACCAAGCTGCCACGTATCTTATGACCCTTGATTTTTCTCAAGGCCGGGGGGAAACGTACAGTACCACCCCCAGGTGTCTGCCACGAAATCGAAAAATGGGACGATGCGATGCTCCTTACATGGCAGGGGTATTACAGGGCAACGATCTCTAGAGAGTAGGAGGAGTCAACGATGCAGCCCATACCACAGCAGCAATTTGGGTGTCACAAGGAAAGTACGCTGGCAGCAGCCACAGCTCCAACTGAACACCACCAGAGTATGGCATGTAGCTCGTCCTCCGTGACGCATCATTCGGCTAGATAGGTACTGCATAGGTTTGCTGCTGGGGTCTGCAGTGACTCTGGAGGATTGGCAGAGTCGTAACACCGAGCCCAAACAACCTGTTTTAAATCACGTACTTTTCGTTTAGTTGGTTTCCCGGGTTTTGATGTTGAAATGTTGAAGCCTGTACACAGACTTGAACCAGCCCTACTCATCTGTCTACACTGTGTGCTCCCTCCTGGTCTGTCTTGACCCCCAACACGTTTCTCTTTCACAATTATGCACAACCCGATTTCCTTTTATCTATTTCATTGCATGAAGTTTGCTGGTATTCGTTCGTCTATCTTGGTCTGTCGCTAAGTGAACCCCCCCCCGTGTGCGTGTCCCCCTTTCCTTTATGCGCCCTACTTTTTGAAAACCCGTCGTCTGCCTACTGTATTCTGTCTACAACGATATTGTCACCGTACGCGAACCGCGGCACAAACTGCGAAAAAACAGGGAACCCTACAGAAACATTTATTTCCAACTCTCGTGAGCTGCGGAGCGATGGTGGTCCGTTTCCAGATTTGTGCTTCGATGCCCCCCCCCCCCCTTACATTCTCACTCTTCCCGGTGATATAATTTTCCCGTGTGTGGTACTCCCGAGAGGCGCTAGCCTCTACATACTTCCTGCGTAGGCCTGCTGTGGTAGGAAGACCTTTGGCAACTTTTTAACGTTCGAGTTTGTCTCACTCACCTACCGCCAAATTGACGGCCCATCCCACCCTCTCATTCATTCGTATTCCGGCTTCCACGCGGCAAGATTCGGTTGTCAACCGACTCTCCCTCATACGAAACGGCGGCGAGGATTGTGTGCTCTCACTCAGTATCCCTCCTCGACTACGTTCACGCCAAACTGCGAAAAAAGGAACCCTATAGAACAACTGCGTGCCTTTCGCCCACACGATCCAATGTCAACAGGCTTGGCTGTATTCCTAGACGGCAAGAGTTTCGTCGACTTCCTCCTAACCGTTTCTGAGGGTTACACGCACACCTAACTGTTGTCTGGTCGAATGGCGACAGGCACTCGAGTGGATCTGCTTTGCTCCTGAGATGATCCTCTCAGGGACAAAGCGAGGTCGGCGTGACGACGCGCACGGCGTTGTGACCGAAGTCCGCGATTGCCATCCTGCTTCCAGGTGTGCTCGGCATGAAAGCAATGGCGTTGGGTAAGTCAAGGCCAGCTTCCGATGCCGGTCCTCCATCTCCTTCATACGCCTTGCCCGAAGATAGAAGTTGTGTCCATAGGCGAATGTTCAAATGCACGGTCGGGTGGGATGAGATACGCGTGTGGTTGCTCAAGAGTTCGAACGCTTCAGTGAGGAACAGGAACATGATTGCGATTGGACGCTTACGTGTTGTGCGTGCCCGTGTTGCATGGAAAACCAAGACCGAACAGAGGACGGGGGAAACGCTTACCGAGGAAGAGCGGTGAAAAATGATGGCCTTTCTCTGAGTTTTTTGTCGATGCATTCCCCCCCCCCCCAAACGCCTACATACGGAAACCCCATGGTTTGTTAGCGCAAAGTGTTCGACAGAAACATTCTCGTCTTTGAAATGCATCAAGCTTTGTTTGAAACACGGCACATATTATCGCTGCGGACAACGCCAACAGCCCTACTTCCTACAGTAGCCCCCCCCCATGACATATGCGGAGCCTACCCACGTACCGTGCTTCCCGTGCCAACGCACGTGGAGATAATCCCACTAGTAGAAATGTTCCGGATCTTCTCTCCCTGGAACTCGGCGACGTAGATATTGTCGTCAGCATCCACCGCGATTCCCTTTGGGTAGGCCAGCACCGCCGAGAGGGCCTTCCCACCGTCCCCTGAAGAACCTGAAACGCCCGAGTCCCACTTGCCGCCTACAAGGCGCACCTGAGCGGCGCCTCCCTGCCGGGGGAATATTCCCTTCAGCACAACACCCTGCTCGCGAATAGAGGAGGATGGATGAGGGGAGGCAAGTGGGGTGAAGCTGTCGCGGGGGTAGCGAGGGATGCGGAAAGTGATGCGGGATCCTTGTGTCGGACGTCAGGCTGTAGTCAGGGCTGGCCGTCAAATACTCTGACGCACCTTGTCGGTTCATGTGTCTGTTTGGACGCCAATACCAGTTGCTTCCTTCAGTACACGGTAAGGCTTCATGCATACCACTGTAGGGTTTAGGGTTTCCCTGAGGATTAATGAGTTCACACCTATTGTCTATGTCTCCTATGTGTTACTCTCGCAGCGTAAAAACTCGTGGCCGCGGGGGACATACCTGTACGTATGTTGTGAAGTAGACGATGCCGATGCTATTGACGGCGATGTCCCATACCATGAGCGGCGCTCGAGTTTTCACGCCGTCCTTGAAGGCCATGTCCACCATATTCCATTCCATCTTGTCGGTGGGGGATGGTATGAACGAAGAGACGTCAAGGCCGAGTCATGTGGGCACTGACAAAACCGACAGGTATTTTCCGTTGGCCAAAAAAACATACCACCCGTTTCGCGCGGCACCAAACTAGCGTGGTAGAGAGCTAACTGCGGGACAGCTATTGCCTCCATCTCTGTCGTACAAATAAACGTTTTCCCTGTCCGTCTTCAGTCAGTAAAAATCTTCCGCACCTCACTTCCTAGGAAAGCAGAACACATACATACAACGACAGCCACAGGTTGCTTCGCTGCCTTCACCGTTGGTTGATGTTGTACTGTAGAGACTTGCCTTGCTCGTGCTTTGCAAACAGTATGATATGGTCTTGTCTTGCCAAGGCAAGCGGTTTTCACAGCGCACGACGAAGGAAATCTGACCTTTTGGCCGAAACTCCCGTCGGTTCCCTTGACCAGCCTCGCTATTCCAGTGTGACCCCTTGTGACGTACACGTCTCCCGTGACGGGGCATACGGCGACGCCAGGCAAAAATGGACCGAGACCGGCGGCTAGGCTCACTGCCGAAGTCTCTGCGGTTTCAGTCTCCGAAGTCATTTCGAAGAAGGAATCGTACATAGACACACCGGTACCACTGGAATCCTCGGCCCCAACGCCGCCGCCCGGGTTGATCTGCCGCCACGAGAGCAAGAATACCCCCCCACTTACGGCGGGCGCGTCTTCCATGGTGAAGATGAGGTTGTCGTCGGCATCGATGGCCATTGCAAGGATTATGCCGGTGCCGGCGTAGACGACGGTATCACCATCGTTATCGTTGTCGGTGTCTACATTGGTGTTAACACTAGAGGGGGAAGAGGACGTCGCCCTCAGTATAGCATCGCCTGCACTCTGGCCTTTGCTGACGGAGTAAAACACATTTCCCTGTCGGCCGTAACAAGGGGACAGGACGAGAACTGCAGTAGTTGGGTATGGTGCTCGATATCACGGGTGCCGCCAATCGAGGCCACTTAAAGCGTGTAACATAATCTGCAGACAAGACCCTTTCGCATTGATCTTGCACACCGAATTCACCATTGCAAACAACGTGCGACTGCCGTTTGATTATGCCGGTGGGCAATCGTGACGCAATAGGTGTTCTGGGGGGCATGCTTCCACCTCTCCCGTATTCCCTAGCACATGACTTGACATTTCGACGCTACCTGTGAGTCCATAGCAACCGCCTCGACTCTTGTTTCTGACGATGCCATCGTTTCGATTGTCCCTGCGGCGTAGTCCGGTTGACAGATGGTGGTAGAACTCTCCTCGGTCGAAGATGTCGAGAGGGGGCCAGTCGTGGACTCTTCGCCCTCGCCGCCTTCATGAGCACCGTCAGCTTTCGGAGAAGCTCCACTTGTTTCATCATGTGGGGGTGGAAATTCGGTGCCCTTCTCGTCATCGTGGTTGTTGTCCGGAGACCCAACACGGTCTTCATAGAGACGCGTGCCTGAATCTTCCGCCAACGGATTGTCTTGCGCGCGTGGAGTGTCCTCCGAGCTGGTCGTGTAATCGTACTGGCCAAAGCTGTATCGGCCAGAATATCCGTCCCAATACCGATCAAGGCCGGAACCAGTGATCCTGTCATCGTACTTGTCATGTCTATATTGGACATCGTCGTACTCGCCATAGCTAGTTTCCCCATCGTCGTACAGTTGACCACCCTCACCGTCCTGCTGATCGGCCATGATGTCGCCAGAGCTGTCTTTCGGTGTGTCGGATGTAATCTCATCCGAGTAGTAGGCAATCTCATCCGAGTAGTAGGCAATCTCATCCGAGTAGTAGGCAATCTCATCCGAGTAGAAATCATCCTCGTGGGAGTGCTCTTCGTCCGTCGGGTGAGCCGGAACGACCGCGTCGTCGCACCGGGCATGGCTAGCGTCACAGTTGCCGGAGCAGCAAGCCTGATGCAAGGGACAATAGCATGAGGCGTTGCATCAATTAATGTGAGACCGATGATGCGCAAACACAAAAGGAAAGGGAATACGAATCGATTGCGCTTGTTCGTCTTCGACGTAGTGAAGCGGCTCCGGCACCGGTTTTCGCCATTCTTTCAAATGATGACTGGAACCATCGCTTTTGGATTTGGGCCGCTGGTGGGCCCAACAAGACGTGTTTCGGTAGCATCTCAGTGCCTCGTTCGGGCACGCAACGTAGCTTACCTTGTCCGAGTCACATGGTGTCGCAAAGGGTTTGCAGCAAACGGTGTCTCCGCCAGAAAACGGCGTTTTCTCGCATTGTGTCCGAAATCCGGCTTCCTGAAATCCACGGGGTCGATCGTGTGTCGGAGGGGTCACGAGCAAAACGACAGCGAGTGTGTGTAAAAAAGTACGACGCGATATCACAATTAAGGTCCAGTTGCCATCAATGCTGGTGATCAAAGCTCTTTTGGGAGAAATATGCACTGCAGAATCTGACAAGGAGATCTGGATGGCATCGCAAGCACGACGAAGCATCCTGGAAGCCGTGGTGAAGGGCAGCGCCCCATCTACTGGAACAGTTGCTGGCACAAAGCATACACGGGCGCAACTGAGCGCGCCAATATCAAAGGAGAACATGGAGGTATGGAAGCGGTAGATCGACCGGTGCCCTGTCACGCGTTAGTTGCAATGCTTTGAGAATCCCAGACTACGAGGCCGCTGCCATTCCTGGCAAGACATATTGTAACTTTCAAGAGTGGCGCTACGTACTTGAAGATGGCTTGGCACTCTCGACCTTGCACCCACAGTAGTAGCGGTAGAAATATTACTGCTCTCTCGCGTTTGGTTCTCTACTACACTGCGCAACAAGCAAATTTGTTGGCTCACCACATACAACCCAGGGGTGCAATCATCCGTCATGTAGCATACGTCCAAGAGGGCAAGCGGACCGAAACTCTCTGTGTTGCGCCTTGATATCTTTCCGCCCTCTCTCTTGCCAGCTTCGAGCCTTGCAGCACGCGGTACCCCGCGAATCATGCCGGCGGGTCCGCTTTGGTCGAGGCTGGCTTGTCTCGTGGCGAACATACGCGAGAGAGCCACACCGTGCGTCATGGGCAGCATGAGCGGCAGCACCACCAGCGGCGTGGCCGCTGCTGTCGGTGCCCGCATGCTTCTCAGAAGGTCTTCGCCTGTTCGGCAGTTCTGCGTAAAACGTTAAGAGTGAGAGAGATAATGTCGTCTAACCCCCCTTTCGTGTCTCGCCTGTCTCTCGGCGTCAGCTATTGGGGATGGCTGTTGACTCGACGTTATCATCAAGAGAGTTCTTGCTTCTCAACACCGCTTGGCAACTGTTTGTTCGTGCGAACGCACTGCTGCCCACAATGCCTGACAGCAAAGCAACCACGTCTCTCAGACCGACTTATACCAGAGAGAAGAGAGGGCCACGAAGCGTATCAGGCGGACAACGCGGACATGCTTGATGTGGCCGAAGCCGGAAGGAGACTCGCCGCTCGAAAGGTCCGTTGTTTGTTGATCGCTGGTGACTGGTCAGAGATTCACCAATCGGCGAGCTCGGTTCAAATTTGATTTGTACGGCGGTTGCGCCGCGTCATAGTTGAGCCGCGTCTTTGGTGTGAGGCGGTATGGCGGTTGCCATTTGTGTCCGAGACATAGACACACCTCACCACTTCTAAACAAACATAAGACCTTGCTGCCCGATGTGCCTTCCACTTCTTCTGTGAAGCTCCTCCTGCTGCTGCTGTCGCTGATGATATGGTCTACACAGCAGCGTGCTGTTTTTTTTTTTTTTTTTGTGTTCACGTCAAATCAGCGCTCACAGCACCATTATAGTGCCGTTTACTCCAACCCGTGGTCACACAGAAGGACCCCTCTCTACCCTCCCCTCCTGCGGTACGTTGCCTTCATTTTTTAATGTGCGAAGAGTTCAGCACTCTCTTCCCTCTGTGTACACACGAACTAGCGCCATCCACTAGGGGACAAGCGGAAGCGAGAGAAAAACTCACTTTGCAAGAACAGCTCGCTTACGCCGGGGTTCAAACCCCTTGGCCTGACCTCTAGAAGGTTTCGAGGACACCAACTAGACCACCGGGGCGACCGGTAATCCAGTTTATTATTACTTCTCGGAGGGGATCCAGAGTGAAACATTCCAGGAACCAGTAGCCAGGAACCTGCGTGGGACGGCCATGTAGCCTATTGTACTAAACTAATGCTGCCGTGTTGGGCACCACCACAAATATCACTGCATTGTAAGCAATGGACACGTACGTCCCGTTCAGTCTACTCTGGGGCAAGTACTGTAGTAATCCTGAATCGTCACCACCGGGAGCAAAAGGAGGAGGGGTGCCACATCACCACATGAGCGGCTTCTCATTTATAACCGGCCCGCGAGGTGATCTTGGATGGACTTTGAACGTCCCTTGCCACTCTTGTCCACACCGACCAGCGTCTCTTTGTGCTTCGGCCTGGTGTCCAAAACAGGGATCCACCGAGTTGATCCTTTTCAGCCACCCAAAACTAATCTAATGGATTCACACTATCGCGCGCCCGTGGTTCCACACACATCGCTTGGTTCCGTACACCACCTTGCTGAAACCCAACATGCGACTCCTTTTGGCTTAAGCTTCAATCGTCGGCCCTCGCGTTCAACGGTGTTTCATCCACCTCTGTTCGTTGTTGAAAGGAGGCAACCCGTTCTCATTGTCGAGATCTCAGACCTCTTCTGTATTGGCAGTGCGCTAGCGGTTCGTACTGTAGCGAGCTCAAAATATGCGCTGATGGTTCTATCATTCTCAAACTCTCACAATGCACAGGGAGACAAATGGTACAGTATCGTTGTCATCCAATCCCGGTTTGGCATAGACTTGATCGTCTTTCACCCCGTGTACGCGCCACCCCTGGCGATCGAAATGCACACCATCAGTGACGCGCACGCCGTGCCGCCACCAAGACGTTCGACCTCTGCGTGGTCTCAGACGTGATCTTCGTCCTTATTGTCGGCCAAAGAAAGCCAGGTTGTCCTTGACGAAGGCAACGGCCGCCGTCTCGAGAAGGCAGCACACTTCCGCGGCATCCTCCTTGCCATCGCCATGTAAAACCACTTGTGCAGTATAACGCGCCGCTTTGTCGCAAGAAGCAGACATTGTTTCTTCTCTGGGCGCGTACGGACTTGAAAGGCTTGCCTTGTCATCGGTCGGGCAGCAACTGCCAGATCCGGCAACCTCGTTGAGATTTTCAGTTTCTCGGGGGTCTAACGACAGCGCGAACAGCTGCGCGTGCAGTACCTGCCGGCGATTAAACGTACGTGCGGGGGGAATCGGTTGACGGGCGGCAATGTTTCTGAGCTGTCACCTGTCGCTGTCGTGGGGGTGGTATTGCAGATACATGTAACTCTTGGTGATTTCGGCCAAATCGATTCACACGGAGTGCGCTTATGAGCGTATTGAGAGTGAATAGTGTGACACGGGCCTTTGCCTTGTAAATTGGAAGTGATTTTCAATATTAACGTACACCCGTGTTGTACATGTACCAAAAGGTGTCCAGAACTACACTACAAAAAATCTCACACTACGACGGTTTGCCAGAACTTGGTGGCAATCTTGGGCCGTGGACAATCTATGCACAAATGAGCGGGCGTTCGCAGCTTCACATTGCTACGTCAACTGTGGTCGCTGACAAAGTCCACACAGCACCATTCTTGTTAATGACGGCACTGAAAAGCCACGGCCCGCAACACTTACCTCAACGTGCGTTTGATTGTCCCGTTTCTTCAAGTCGTACGCGAAGAGCCCCTTCCAGTCGCCGGCCACAACGGCAAGAGTTTTTTTGCCGAAGTGCGTCGAGCTGACCGCGCATCTCCGAAACTCCGGACCGAGAAGACTGTCCCCGATCAAACCCGACCCAACCGCAGAAAATTCCCTTTCTCTTTCACCCCCCGGCCTCGCGTCAGGCGTGGACCCTCCGCCACGTTTGCGATTGGAGACCTCATTGTGTCCCCTTAACCCTTGCGGCTGTGAAAATGAATCCCCACTCCTAGCCTCATCTTCCTCGGAGGGGTCAGTCTCCTGGAGCCGTGACGGGAGCATCGCCTGCGGATTCCACAAGCCCAGCAGGTCCAGCAAAGTCGGGGTGATATCCGCCTGCATTCCAACCCGGTGTAGGGTTTGTCCAGGAATGATTCTGGTGTCTCCCGGCGGGGCCGTGAGGAAGAAGGGCACGATGACCCCTTCCTGCACACCAATGGAAAAGCGGAAAGTGGATGAGTTAACAGATACCGAGAAGAGCCGGAATCTGGGCTAGAGGTTGGTGGAAATGCGATCCCATTGATGTCAAACGGATTATGGCCGCTAGCCTGCTAGCCAATCCTAGAGGTCGAAGGGGGACGCGAGTATATTGTCATCAACAAATACCCCACCAGCCCTTCCTGTTATAGCAACATAGTTCACCTGGTAGACGTTATTGCCGTGCTTGTCGAAACCGTGCTCGTTGAAAGCCTGTGGAGCCGGGAACTAGATAAATGAGTCACATGCGCGATCAGTTGGGATTGTTTAGCGTTTGAGAGAAGGCGCCAAAATATGCCTCTGCGACACGCACTCCTGTGACGCGGTGGGTCCTTCGATCGTTCGAGTCGGGACATGCAGTCGAACACATGGCAAAACGATATGATCGCTACCGGGTGGCAGACCAACGTATGCATACCAAATCAGTAAAGGCTGGAAGACACTAAAGCGGAACTGACCTGGAAGGAGCGGCACAGTCAATCCATCTTTCACGACACCGACCAGTCTCTCGAGCGCAGGACTTACCTCGCCGTGATCACCGACGACGACCACGTATGAGTTGTCGGACAGGCCGGTGTCATCCAGCTGCTTGAACAGTCTCTCCAAAAACAGGTCCTGGTAGCGCAGCGCGACGCGGTACTTGTACTGAAGAGAGTTAGTGTCCGAGGCCTGGCGAGGTAAGAATCCAGGAGGAATTCAGTGGGCAAGGGATGCACTCTCGTTCAAAACAGCAACCACGATACATTTTTTCTCGCCACACCGAAACGCAACAGCAATTTCCACGACGAGTCTTTCTACTCGTGGATCAACAACAGTGGTGTCCGTACCTTTATCCAACGAACATCCAACGTCATCATCCAATCGCTCTGTATCAGCAACACAAATAGTTTCCAGCACTTCTGCTCTCTGCAAACTCTAGAGAAACGTGGCACAGATGCGAAACCGGGTCTCCACTTCAAGACCAGCTTCCCCGGACGTGTGAGACCAACGGGCGTATCTACCGTTAACGAGAAGTTGAGTGTTTTTCGAGGCACGCGACTCATCACCTGATCCCAGGGCGCAAAGTCTTGCGGTAAGAAATCCGAAGGTACGTCGTGATGATGATGAGGCCCCACCTGAAGAGGGGCGCAGGTACAACACGGACGGGGAAACAGCGGGGCGGACCAACTCAACACATCATTGTCGCATCTCATGTATGGTCGTGATTTGCATTCATTCGGTCTCAAAAGCAGCCGTCAGCTCGCTTTCATCCCACGGCGTATAGCGGCATGCACGTCCGACCCTTTATCGCAGCCACAACCTGTTGGCACCCTCCAACTTCTGACCCAGTGCTACTACGGACGTCCGAGCCATGGAGTGTGGTTGCAAAAACCCGACACTGTAAAAGTTGTGGGATCTGTAAACGACACCCACGGATGGATATGCCGGCCTCCACGTAGCTAAATATGGTGGTTCGCAACCAAACACAATATAGGTGAACATTTGGGCTACTTATTCTCTGTGATATGTCAGCTTTTGGTGCTGTTGCACCATTGGCATCGGTGGAAACGTGATGGGACCGTTGCGTACGTGTGCGCTTACGACGCGGAGGTATCGCACCAATTCGATCCCAATCGCCGATCGATGCCTCAGGCCGCCGACCCTCCACGACATAGCAGAGAGACACGCGGAACCTACCCCGCACACGTGATGACATTTCCTTTTCCGCGTCAGTGATCGATTCATCTGCTGCATGCTACCGGAGGGTGTGCCTTCATGCTGGGTAGCGGATTCCGCTGTCGCGTTGACATCTGGGTTACCGCGATGTTACAATACACGAACCTCGCTCTACAGCCCAGACCAGTTGAATGACATTCATTGTAGATCTAACGTTGCCCGACGAGCAATTGAAGAGAGTATGCGGCAAGCAAAGAGCAACATAGAGCACCAAGGCGTACGTGTGTGGGTCGCGATCATACCGTGAGGATGGTCAGCAGCTTGCCGCCAGCTTCGCCGCCATTGTGCCCAAGGCGGCCGTCCTCTTGCGCTTGATCTTCTCCGAGGAGAAAGGAAATCGAACGGTTGAGCACCACGTGATCGTCGTATCCTAGGTAGTTGACCTTCTCGAAAGCCCCGTGCTTGAAGGAAAACTGTTGAGAATGACGAGATTGACCGCTTGGTGTTGGTGACGCTGCAACGAGATTAGCTCAATGAGGAACGTGTGGAGTAGCGACCAACATGGCTGACAATTGTACGGGTACTCGAAACCGGACCTTAGCCACAAAGCATCCCCGCCGTCGCGGCTAGGAGGATGATGGAAGCCGGTACGAAATACTGGGTTATGACACCGGAGGACAGCACACGCCTGGATAAACGATAGCAGTTCAAGTCGTATTAACACGAAGAGCCGTTGGACGCATCGTGCGACGATTTCGAGCGGGGTTACAATACGACACAACCAAGACTTTGTCCTACTTGGGTCTCTACTCAAAATCACAATTACGCGGAGATCGGTTTCAAACAACACATTGCTCGTTGCATTGTCCCGCTTTAGCGAAAGACGGCAGGCCGTGCAAGCACGCCGAACACACGCCTGCAGCCCGGGGAATAGCATGAAGCGCAAGATCTACGCGCCCATGACCGTGCGCGACTGAAGGTCAAGGTCACCATAGGCGAGCCGGAATCCCACAGCACGTGCCTTGTCGTTGACCTGTCTGGATTTAAAGCCCGCGCGGCCGCCTTGCTCTTTCTCCCCCGCGAAACCAATGGCATCATCGTGCCCGAAAACGCTTAAGCCGCCAACCATGGAGCCGGTGAGCAGCAGCGATTGATACCCTAGCTTTGATCTGCCGTAGGAAACGAGTCGCCAACATAAAAGACAACATTTAGCGAGCTAATGGTATGGCTGCCGCCGTGGGGATTTTGCGGTGGGACACAGCGCGTGAGAATGGACTAAAGCACAAGGCCGGACAATGATATGGGGCAACCCCCCCCTTGCGCAAAACCACGCGCGAGCGTCCACTGCGGTACCAGCGGCCTCCAACACCCGCTTCGGAAGGGTTCCCACAGCAGGACATGCATCAAGATCACCACACTCAAAACGTGAGGTGAGGATGGCAGCTCGGAAGAACATTTAAAATTGACTCCGCCCAACAGCCGATCACAAACAAGTGAGGGGAATGAAGGGGGTCCGGTTGATCCACGTCATGGACACCGCGCCGAGGGAGAAACTTGACATGGGCAGCTGCAGAAGCAGTACCCATGAAAATATTTCTTCCCATCCAAAACGACAGATGAAGCGCGCGATAGGAATTGCAGCCGGTAGACCTTACCTCAGAAGGCCCGGTAGGCATACCGCCTTCAGTACATCGGGTCGGTCAAACTCTACCCATGCAGTCTCCAGCGAGGGAGTCATGCCGCACATCACCTGAGCAGCGCGCCAAGCCAAAAAGAGGAGACCAGATAAAGTCAGGAGCACCCGCCTCTCCCACCAGAACATACAGCCTTGACTGCAATCTCAAGGCGACGTAACGCAAAGTTTCACTGGCCGACGACAGGGGCAGTGTAGAAACGTTTATGTCGTTTCAATCTCGGTGGTGCCCAAAGCGCGTTGGAGATATTTACCAACGAGTACGACTGATGGCGTCTAACCTGAAACATGGCCTTGTTGGTGTTGGGCATGGAGGAGTAGAACTTGGAAGACGATAAACCACTGTCGAGCCACGGAGATAGTAGACATCGGGAGACAGAAACACAGTTGAATGAAAGGGAGAGGGCTTGGGGTTAAGAAGAGCCATGTCAACGGACCACCCGTGCAGACACCAAGGACAGTTTCAGGCCCGGTCCCTCTGTACGGATTTCTACCTTCTTTCGCGTGCACCTTGAACGCTACAGCAAGCCAACCTGTACACTCGACCAACCTCCACGGGAAGTACAAGTTCGGCGACGGGCATGCAAGTGCTGAATCTCTTTTTATTGGTTTGGTTGCCGCAGCAAATCGTTTAAAAAAACAGACGGGAACGAGGCCCCCTTCCTCTTTCGCGAAGCCCCCCAGTCAATGCCGCATCGAACAAGCTCCTTGGGAGCAAGAAACTGCCCAAAATCTCACCGGGAGGCAAGCTCCTTCGCCCATGGCGACACCCCCTCGTTGTTCGAACCCGTCACCATCGTACCGGTGGTTGACTCCAGCACGACCACCACCACATTGGGTCTCTTGGATGTCTTCCCACGAGCGCTAGCAGCGTCCCCGCCATTTCCAGCGCTGGTCGCGGCGCCTTCCGGCTTGTTGGCGTCAACGTCGATGCCCCCGACGATCCTCGGCGATACCGCCGCAAGCACTTGACGCCACAAGAGAAAGCAACGAGGGAAAGCAACGAGGGAAAGTTGGGTGGTGAAGTGTGCAGGCTTCGAGTTCGAATCGATTATTCTTCCCGTATATGGACACGTGCCGTGCCTGCTGGCTGTGTGCTTTGGGGAACGAGACTCTCAGGTTCCGCTCCGAGAAAGGGCTTCGTAAGTCAGAAATGAGAGGGATGCGAGAGAAATCAGTCTGAGGGGCAAGCACGGAGACGCATGGGAAGCCCAAAAGAGACACCCGAAGTGACGGTGGCGGGAAGCGTGTGCGTGTGCAGCAGCAGCAGCCATAGTCGAAAGCGGTATCACGATCTGACCTAGGAAAACTCAACGCCGCACAAACCAATTCTACCTTGGCATCCAACACGAACAACCAAGCACGCCAAACCGGACACCACAACCTAGCGCAACCTATTGTAGCGCAACAACCATAGCCAACCATGCGCGGTGGTTTCGGTGAACTACAATACTCAGCATGGCGTGGGACCTCCTGCACACACTGCTGCTGGTTCTAGCTTGATGCTTCGACAGCAGTGAAAGGGACAACCTCGACCGGACTACGCGGTCGTCACTCGAACGTTCACGAGGCCTTCAAAACCATTATGATTTGGCACCGCCAACTTTTCCCGCTGCCGTCCAGGAAGAATAGGGCGCAACAAGACGGGCAAGACGGGGCAAGACATTCCAGTCCGGCGCACGGCATCTCACCAGACGATGCCCAATGCTCACTGCTGGTTGCCCAGGGCGTGCTTCTCATACCCAGGGCGATCGCAACGAAGCAGTTCCTGCGCAGTAGCTGAAGCGCGAGAGGAACAGACTCATGACGACGGCGAAAACTGGTATTTGCTGGAATGACACGTAGCAACGATATTGCGACGGGGTAAGCATGCAACACCTACCACAAGCATTTCAAACGGAAGGATACGGCAGGGGCAAGCCGGATAGGAGATAAGGGACAGAGAACGAAGAGTTATCGGCTCTTTCAAAGCGAAGGTTGGCGGTTTATTCGTCCTACCGGCAAAACCAACACGCCTTCTACAAGTAGAGCGCTCCCGTTTCTCTCGTCAATAATGGCGCCCAAAGCACACACATATAAAAAAATTCCCTTGGAGAGCACGGCGGGTCCTCCACCACTCTAGCTACAATATTTGCACAAACCTTCACGCGACTGTGGTCGCTGTCGCTGCCGAAGAGGCCTGGCCCAAGGCCGGCCGACACGAAGACGAACGTCGAAAGTGCCGCTACAGCTGCAGGTACTTTCGGCAACGCGACCACCTTGGCCGGACACGGGGTCATCAGCACAACACGCGATGGCATGAAGCGGGCCACTCTTTTCCATACCGCTCGCAGGCACCTGGGAGGCGCCATAGAGATGAAGACGGCGGAATGTGCACATCACATCGTAGTTGCTTATGCTGCCGTGTACGGCCATGGACCGCTTCATGCGCAGCACCATCTAAGACTGTTGTCGGTCATTTCGCGTCAACACACCGTACAGTCAAGATCAATTATCAATCGATCCTCTCATTCTCCGGTCGCCCGATGACTAAACAACTATGCACATCTCAACCCTTCGCGATACTAGCCAAGAAATGGCAATGGTGATAATGTGAAATTGTATCGTAGCCAACACGCCTGCCAATTGCACGGGCCGGAAAAGGGGGGGTGCCTAGACCCCAAAACTTTCGCCATCGAATGGCACCGCGACGAAAAAGTTCAAGGATAAAAAAACAATGTCGCGACGCACTTTAACCACAAACCGTGTGAAAAATCCACAAACACAACCCACAGTACTCTCTGCCAACACGTCTCGTACCCGTAGTAATACTGCCTGGATCCATCCTCAGTTGCAGTCCAAAAAACACGAGCATTCGGTGAACGTTTAGGACACGATTGCTACAATAGGAGGGAATACCTCAGACATGCCCCATCCCCACAGCACTGCAGCAGGCGGATAAACCCATCAGTTCAGCAAAACACATCAAGTTCTGTGAATGGCAAAGACAGGATCACTTGAAGCGTGCACCACAAGCATTCAGCACGCCATACCTTGACAGTCCCTTCCGCAGTCGCCTCATATGAAGGCTACCACCACCAGCAAGACGAGGAGCAATCCCATGGCGTATCTTGTACACGACCGCCCCTCCAGCTGCCAGAAATCCGGTTCCAAAGAAGGCCATGCGTTTACCGCGCTTGCCCTCGATTTGTAGGGCGATGAAGATGATCGGACCGAGACTCTTTTTGACTACTTTGATGATGTCTGGGTCCAGCAAAGACCTGCCTCAGGTAGCCCCACGCGGAAAAGAGAGGTGTTCGTGTCGCGTTTCGGAACATCAAGTGTTTTCCTCTCGCACCCGCTGTTTCGATGCGGCGGAACCAAGAGTATATTCTCAGCTCAACGACATGATGGAGACAACGCCTTGTAAATGTACGCGGGGGACTCGCCACGTTGAGGGAATCTGGGCCACATATCCAGTAATCGCAGCAGAACCAGTGATAGGCAGTGTACATTCATCAGAAATAGGGCGCTCGTGTGATGTCCGACAGAGAACCCTGTACCTACAGAGCGTTTGGCGCCGAGGAATACGGGACTAGTCAGTCAAACTAGGAGGGAAATATGCACCGATGTCTGTGCACACTGGGCATGAAGGGCACGAAAACAGATGTCGCAAAGCACAATGCAGCTTTCACATGCAGATGGCAAAGGGGTCCTTAGACTCAAATAGGATGAAGGAGGGGATTTACGACCTTTTCGAGAGTGATCACCACGAACATGCCAGCTACAGCACAGCAGCTGATAAGGCTGTATATTAAGGGAGTGAAGAAGAAGAATTCAAAATTTGATATTGACATATGTTGAAACCAAACGCAAGAGCACAAGAAACTGCACAACGGACACACAAGAACAGTCGGAAGGCATCGCGAAAAACAGAAATCGTTGAATCCCGCACAGGGCGGCAGTAGAGGCTGCTCAAAACATACGATACATTCACGCGTCTGCCTCCACACGCCTCCTTTGAAATCAAGATAGGATTCACACCACCCTAAATTCAAGTCAAAGAGCCAAAACGGAAGGCGCTCCAAATAAGGTCAGTTTTGACGGTTAGCTTTGGGGTTCTATTGTCATCAGTAGAGGACAACATGAAGAGGCCTCTTGCGTGCTGGCACGTTCAGATTTTTCTACTGGAGCTGAAATATCGAAGGTCGCAGCAGCCTTTGAAACTGTCCGAAATTTGCGCCGGAACCAAGCGGCATCCAACATCGGCCACAGCCGTGCTCGCCGCCACTGATCCCAAAATCCTGAACTGCGGGTTTACAGCAGTAGCTGATGCCACTATTTAGCTACTGCTGACACCTCCGTTTAGGGGTTCGCGGTCCGTGGCGGTGAGAGCACGGCTGTGACAAATATTGGATACCTCTTGGTTCTGGCTTGGATTTCGGACTGTTCTCAGAGGCTGCGACCTTCGATATTTCTGCTCCAGCAAGTAGCAAACCTGAACGTGCCAGCACGCACGACGACTCTTCATGTTGTCCTCTACTGATGACAGTAGAAACCCAGAGCTAACCCTAACGCCAACATCGTTTTCTTTCTTCGTATAGGATTCAAGTATGGAAAAGAGCCAGCATCAAAACCCACCCTCTCAACTACAGTACTGCTGTAGACACCAACAGCAGCTCTAAACTACAGCACACGGCCCAACTGCTCACTCACCCCGTACTGCAGAAGTACAAGTGCTCGATTCCGAGAAACGCCAGTGCGACCAAGGTCAACCCCACCATGGCACCCCACAGCAACCGCGTAACGGCTAGCGGCCACACCCTCGCCACCCCGACTGGGACGCTGTTTGTCATGTACCACAGCCCAAACACCGCGACAAAGAGGGCCATGTCCTCGGCTATCACGGCCGCTGCTCCTGACGAGGACCATGATCCGCCAACGACAACGTACTTGTGGATCTTGAGTGCGACCGTTGTGAATGCCACGAGGCTGATGGCTACCTGCAGCGGTTGATGGGGGCACGTCCACGACGAAAACACAACCTTAGGGTGCAGGACGGCGGGCATTGGTGCGTTGCACGGCACCATCGCGGCGTACTGCAACCTGGAACCGAGCCGATATCGCCAAAAAATGGTCCTGCAACACTGCCACATGCCAGCTTCCCCCGAGAACCAAAAAGAAGAACTGCCTGATTGGTTGAGCATACAGCAGTACCAGGAGACAGCAGCGCGAGGCAGATCCAATGCCCCGGTTTACACAGACGGAGATCCAATGCCCCGGTCTAACACGAACAATCTTACCGCTGCCCCAGCAGAGACTGAAATAGGCTTGGTGGACGCGCCTCCAGCTTTAGGAGCGTGCCCTTTCCCCGCCCCGTCTCCATCTAGCAGTCCCTCGGCGCTAGGAGAGCGCCCTCGGGCATGGATTCCTGGCACGTACCGCCTCATGTAGGCGGCGGGTGAGAGCCGCGAGAGGGAGTCTGAGTTGCGAAGGTCGGTCTCCAACGCAACCAGAGGCGGCGCAATTACAGCAATTACAGCAGCGGCACAAGCTGTGGGCAAAAATTACCGACGGGCATTCGGCGGGACTGTCTGTGTGGATATGCTCCTCGGCTCTCGCTCTTTCACATCTCCTCACATCTCTCTTCCCCTGTGCTTCTCTGCTTGTACTTCGGTTCTTGCAATCCGGAGGAAGCCCTATTTTGTTTGCCTGGGCATCCGTTATGTCTAGTTTATGCTTCAGATTCGTTTGTTCTGGTAAAGCCACGAAGTGGGACGACACACATTCTCGACAAATTTGAAAAAGGGCTGCAGGCGCACACATGCTCGCTTGGCAACACACAAACACTACACGGCACATAGCACACGGAGAAGGAGGGGCGTGTGGGCCATGGAAGCAACACGCCTGCGCGCTGCTGCTTCGGCTTGCTGCTGCTGTTCTTCCAGTTCGCGGCACAGCAGTGTAGCAAGATCAGCAACTAATCAGAGCTACAGCAGTAGTGGAAGAAATAGGCGGGCAACCTTGATGATCATGATCGCCAGACGAGCGAACCAACGCACACTCAGTAGTAGCTAGTGGCACTTACGTCATTCATTATTCATCACTCTCACTCTAAGTTCACTCCTGCTGCTGTTGTTGTATGTTGTGGTGTGGTGCGGAAGGACTGAATGTCTGGATGAGATCAGATCAGATGCCCAACTTTGCTACTTCGCCGTTGGCATTTTCGTGTACAGCAGTTCAACTGTTGCAAGGGTATGTTCTGTAGGGTCTGTAACTTTCTGTAGGGTATCCGAAGTTGTCACAGAACTCACAGAACTATCGGGTAGGTATTGGAAGTGTCACAGAACTCCACAGATACAATCGGGTTTGTGAGAAGGTCGTACAGAACCCACAGAACATTTCGGGTAGGTTCACAAATCTCTACAGACGTTTTCTGTATTGTACTGTCGTGTCACAGAACTCGCAGAAGTTTTCTGTAGGGTATTGAAAGTGCAACAGATCTCACAGAAATATCCGGTATTGTAACGCAAGTGCCACAGAACTCCACAGAAAAAATCGGGTTTGTGCCAAGGTCGTACAGAACTCACAGAACCTCGCGGGTAGGTTATCAAATGCTCACAGAAGTTTTCTGTAGGGTATTGGAGCGTCGCCGAAGTCACATTTTCTGTAGGGTATTGTAGCATCACAGACGTCACAGAAGTGTCCGTAGGGTTTTCAAGTGTGACAGAACTCACAGACGCTTTCTGTAGGGTATTGCAAGTGTGACATCACTCGTCTGTAACGTTCTGTAGGGTATTGCAAGTGTCACAGAACAGAAAATAGGGGGTATTTAAGCATGTTGCTCAAATGAGAGAATACCCCAGGTATATACCACCCCCCCCCGGTCTCTCTGCATCCGGTTGTTCGCCCTGGTAACTCCTCAAGGATGTGCTTGACGCGCCCAGAAGAGAGCGCCGGAAAAGGTGTGTCTTGGGCAATGAGCAACCCCGTGAGATCCCGCCAAGTTGTGCCAGATGAGAAAAAGCTGAAGTGCAAAAACTTTTCCACAACCATCTTCACAGCCAGGAGCTGACGGACTCTGCCAAAGGGAACGAAATAGAAACAGAAATACAATACAATGTACCGTATCGGCACAGCATTGCAAAGGGGAGAACGGGACAAGCGTGAGATACCAACATCAGTCAGTTGGTTACGTGGTTCGCGCAGGTAAGGTTTCCTCACGGAGTATTACTGCAGTACAGCAGTCACACATGCCTACATGTACACACACAACAAGCAGAGAAACCTGACGCACACACCTGTCCGTCCCAACACCCGAGTTCTTGCTTGCCGCGAAGTTTGCCGTGATGCTCTGCTTCGCTGCCTTTCTCTTCCCGTCCTTCACGACGCCACCCACCCCCTGCACTCCGTGCCCATTCTTGAGGTGCGAGTTGACGTTGCTGCGGTCGCCGCCTTTGCAGGGGATCATCTTGTTGTTCTTGCGGCGGCACAAGGAGTCGGTCATGCAGAAAAACTGGTGCTTGTCGCTGCTCGACGCCTCAATGTACACTCGTAGCGAATGCATGTACGACTTCTCGCGGGACCCTTTCCTCACAACCTTCACCACAGCCGCGTCCACGGCATGCGGCTCCCCGTTCTTGTTGTAGACGGCTGCGGGTGCGATTACGGGCACGCCTGCATCACTGCCTCCCGCGCCAACTATCTCTACCGCTCCCTCGCGTTCTGGTGGTGGTGGTGTTGCTGCTGCTGCTGCTGCTGCTGCTGCTGCTGCTGCCTCTGCCCGCGTTTTGACTCCTCCCGCAGCGATCGATGATCCGCTCGGAGGGTCCGCGGTGATGGTAGAGTTAGAGCTCATGTCCCTCTCCTCCACAGCGATACAGATGCGTCGTGGTTGTTCACAATGATGTGTATGTGTGTGGTGGATGTGTGTGGTGCATGCTCACCATGATGACTTGTGTGCGAGAACCACGTGATTTGTACTTTTTCTTTTTCTGTAAATTGACAAGGTGCGCTTCAAGTTTGGTTGGTGGGCCTGACTCAGAACATAGAGCGTACAGACGTTGCCCGGTAGGTAGGGTATTGACAGCGTCACAGATCGAACAGAAGTTTCCGGTAGGGTATTGGAAGTGTCACAGATCTCACAGAAGCGTCCGGTAGGGTATTGGAAGTGTCACAGATCTCACAGAAGCGTCCGGTAGGGTATTTGAAGTGTGACAGAACCTCACAGAACGTTTCTGTAGGGTATCGGAAGTGCCACAGAACTTACAGAATATATCCGGTATTGTATCGCCAGTGCCACAGAACTCAACAGAAAAAATCGGGTTTGTGCGAAGGTCGTACAGATCTCACAGAACGTAGCGGGTAGGTTAACAAATGTGTACAGAGGTTTTCTGTAGGGTATTGGAGCGTCACAGAACTCATCGTTTTCTGTAGGGTATTGGAAGTGCCACAGATCTCACAGAAGTATCCAGTAGGGTAGCGGAAGTACCACAGAACTCGTCTGTAACGTTCCGTAGGGTAAATACCCGGAAAAATACCGCCGGTACCTTCTGTGGGTACCCTACAGAACACACCCTTGAACTGTTGCACCGTATGTAGGGAGGAGATACTTGCACTTCGTATCACAAGCGTGGATCTCACAGCTCCACCGCCGCTTGTGCAGTTCCTCTCCTGGTTGCTACAGCTGGTGTGCCGCGAACTATCGTAGAGGAACAGCAAGAGCAGCAGCGCGCGGACTGCGTTGCTTCCATGTCCTGCACACTCCCCTCTTTCTCTGTGTGGCATGAGTAGACCAACAAGGACCACCAACTGGCGGTATTCTCGTTTGGTGTTTGGGATCTATCCTCTGTTCTACCCCGTCAGCCACGCCTGCCCACAAGCTGTTCAACAAGAGATATAGTCTAGGCCGCCTCACGCACAGACTATTCCCCCAAAATTATTACTGACAGACACGATCACGTCACATACCATCCACACGCACTAGAGCCACAGTCGACCTTTTGACTGATGTTGTACGTTGGGGTTAGAGTTTGGGATAGCCACGGTTTACTTTCAAATGCTTGCCATGAAAAATATATTTGTGTCGTGATTACAATAGGATTAAGCATTCTCCACTATCCGCGGTAGGTCGCACTGCTGTGTGGTTCGACATCCTTCGTGGACCTCTTAGGAGCTATACAACACCCTTCCTTGCGGAGAAGTGTGCGGTTTGCAAGATGTGTAGATTGATATATACCTTCATCGTCGGGCACCGCCAAATTCGGGAGATCTTGGTCTAGTTAATTGGCGCGACATTTCTCGCCCGAGAGATAACAGCGTCAAGCGTAGTTGTGTCAACCGGAGTATTCGGTCGAACCTTTGGGGGTCCCATCGTTAACATTTCGTCTTCTTCTTTTTTTGATCGGCGTCTTCCGTACCGGGTACTGTCGAGTGCACCAATGCACTCTCTCGGGGTCTCATCGTTTCAAACCATTGCGTCCCTCTCGGGATATTCGCTATTAGATTCGCCACTATCCAAAGGAGAGACCTACAGTTCTACAGGCCGACGGCGGAGAGCTCCGGGCACGGGGAGATCATGATTCGTAACCAGATGAACGAGAAAGCGACATTTTCTACCACAGTGAGCTCCTACGCGAAGGGGGTAGAGGCCAAACTTTCCCAGAGGCGCAAGGAGATGGACGAGAAGTGGGACGAAGTCGATAGGGGATGCGACATCCTGAAACAACACAAGATGGGCATCGGCATCGCAAAACCTGCAAGCTCAAACGAAAGCTTGGTTCAGTTGAACATTCGTGGTTCTCACCTTAATATTCGCCGGTCCGTCCTTGCATCAACGAAGAGATCATCCGCGGCTTGGAATTTGGCTGACCTCTTCGACAGCGTGTGGGATGAGCGAGTTCCACGGGACACCGATAGCCGCATCGTGCTGGATGAATCGCCCGTGTGCGTCAAGCGCCTGATGCACATGCTCCTCAACACCTCAGCGGGAACATCTGCAGATAGTCCGCGTGCCGGTGATGCTGTCCTGGCCGGGGATGAGCCATACCTGGCCTACCTATCTCGCGCACTGGGTCTGTCGGACCCCTTGTCTGAGTGGGGCATCGACGTAGTGGGAGGGAGCACCATACTAGAGCTTCATGGGCTCGGTCCACTGAGTGCCACGCTTCACCGTTGGTGCCCTGATAGGCCGGACAAGCTGGAGCTTGTGTACAGAGCATCTCGTGACGGCTGGAGGGCCGCCGATTTCCATGGTCGCTGTGGAGAGGACAGCCCCTCGACTATCACGCTGTTCCAGGTTGGGCAATGGCAGCAGTGCTAGCATCGCGGGGGGCTTTTCTAACATTCCCTGGACGGCCACTGTGCTCAGATCGGAACATTTACGTTCGAGGGGATCTTTCGTGTTTATGCTGAAAGACGGCAACGAGACGAGCACTGCCGACATCTTTCA